AGAAAGTGTGGTGACATGTGTGTCTTCTGGTGCTTATCATGAGGGCTTTTTCACAGGTTAAGAACTGAGTCTTTCATTGAATTAACAGGCTCTGATTGACAATCTAAGCAAGGGAGGAGGAAATATTATGGACAGCCTTCCTGAGGTGAGAAAGTTTTCAATCTGGTGTAGACATGTGAATTTCTGTGCTCTTATTCCTTTACACCTTAACATCAGTGTGCATATTTTCCATACTGTTCTCTATACATTTCCTAAGGTGTGAACAAGGAAAATTTGTCTAATAATCAAGAGCTGCTCTAGTGGGTGGTCATTTTCTTTATTCTTGTGACTTAAATGCGTGATTTAGGATTGATATTGCAGGGAGAAATTAGGTGCTAGTTACTCAAACGAGTAAAAGGGTTAACCGAGTACTTATTATAGTCTTTGCGCTGAGATGTTAATGTATCTGTTACCTGTTTTTTCTCAGACTACAAGGAGAAGTTCCCTTAATCCTCCACCTAAGACTGACATGACATGGGATGAGTACCTGCTGTATGACACAGAAAGGTCAGTAGACATTACAAGTCAGCTCTCTTTATTACAAATTCAAGAAGTATTTGTGATTGCTGATATCATGCAAAATGACCAAGATCGGAGCAATTTTCAGGTGGGGGTCAAACAGTAGTCCAGAATTGCTTTGGTTTTGTCTTTCCCCAGTGGTGCTAAAAATTTAGTGATTGCCTTTGAAGTGAAGAATGTCTTGTCTCTGGAGGAGAGTTTCTCAGCTGGAGAGCCGAAGAAAGTTTGAGTCGGGTTTGCTACCGGACCACATGATGTCAAAAAGGCTGAAACCCTATTATTGTTAACCAAAGGCATTTTTGTGTTTGACTGGTTGCATGTTTCTCTCCATTCACAGACTGCCTCCAATTGGTCGGCCCATGGTGCTCAAAGAAGACAAGAAAACTGTCAAAGCGCATGTAGCAATGGTGAGTGTCAGTAGAAGTTAGTAACATTCTAGTTTATAACCACCAGTTTATAACCACTAGTTTTACCAGTTTCGTTGAGGTGTGCTAACATCATCAACTATGTTTTAATTTTTATTTAATTTTCTTTTTAGAGTGAAGATTTTCCTCTCTCTGTTGATCTGTAAGTTGGTTTGTTTTTCATCACTATTGTTATATCGATATTGTTCATAGGCTCGATTTCCGCAGCGCTCTCGTTCCCGGTGTTCACCCCTCCCCGAGAAGTGGGTTCAGGAGAAGGAGCGTGGGCTCTTATTCCCGAACAGCGGCTGGTAATCGAGCCTGTGGTGTTCATTGCACCATTAACCCTTAAATTTCCAGAAGTGATTAACATATAACTTCTCCCTATAATATCCATACGTTATTCAACAAACAGGTGATGAGAATACTCAAACTTATCAGTTAGAAGTTATTATTATGGTATGACACCAAATTCTCCTAACTAATTTACAAGGAAATTTGTAACAGTCGGAAGGAAGAATTAACAATCGGATATTGGGTGTTGCAGGGTTAATATAAAGTTATTTTTTCACAGAATGGAAACAGTTCCTATGAAGGTTATGGAACCTTACATCTTAGTGCATTTTGTGAACAAGTTCTTATTGTTTTGTTTTGTTTTGTTTTCTTTCCTCTCTCTCTCTCTATAGTATCCTGAAAGTTTTAGAGGTTGTTGCTCCATTTAAGCACTTCAACAAGTTAAAAGAGTTTGTCGCTATGAAACTACCTGCTGGATTTCCTGTCAGAATAGGTTTGTTTTGTTTTTGTTCATCATTTGAGATTTCTCCCATCGTTTCAGCAGAAAAAAGATTTCGCGTTTAGTTTCTGTCGTTGTCGTGACATTCCAAAGAGTGGCTGTAAAGGAAACTACATCAGGTTTTGTGCAAATCTTGATTTTTCCATGTTCATAATTTGCAAGCTGTGTCAATTTTTCCATCTTTAGCCATCCCTGTTTTTTTTTTGTCTATTTATTATTAACTTTGTTGATTTTCTTTCATATTAAATTAAAACCGTGTAGTCTTTTCAACTGTAAGGAAGTTTTGCACAGCGCAGTGACGGCGCTTGATCTCGCGATAGCACTATTTTAGTTGATATTGAATTTTTCTTTTTGGCAGAAATACCAGTTTTTCCAACGATAACAGCACGTGTGACGTTCCGAGACTTTAAATCCTGTAGTGAAATTCCCTCTTCAATGTTCTTTATACCTCGAGATTACAAGGTCAGTCACGCTTTTGTCACACGAAGGATAACCTTTGACCCGTCACGCCCTCATGCGTGGAAAACAACGTGACAAAGTATACGCCAGTTTGTCATTTTTTCTTGCAAAGGGTTCCTGAAATTTAGAAAAATTTTCCATGTATTGTCGAGAGGAAAGTAAGATTGCAATAACTCAACCTAACTTCCAGCAGTCTACTTTATTTTACTTTGACTTCTGGCCTCTGGTGCTGTTTGACTGCTTTTAACGGTTGAGGTTTGGCTAGAGAACATCTTCTGGTTTTGGTTTAAATACACGCGCTCGAAATGCGCTCTTTCTCTGTCTCAAAAAGTTACTTTTAAGGGCAACGAACCTCACCTATTCTTTAAGTAATTAGCTCAGTTTAGATTAACCTCGACTTTTACCTTCCCATTGCAGGAGGATCCGAATCGCTTCCCAGATTTGTAAACAAAATGAAGATGTTCAAGACTTCCCTCTCTCTCCACCCCGCCCCTAGCTAGTAATGTTCTGCTTGAAAATTGTTAAAATTTACCTCGCGCACCAATGGTTGACCAGTGCGACTCTATTTTCTCTTACTTGTGCACAAGCAAGTAAAGCGTTTCGGTTATTCAATCATTTCTTTTGAATATTGAGATCTTTCAACGAATATCTCGTATGTTTGTTGTAGAATGAAATTTTTATTCGTAAGAACAGTTTATCAGTGGCAAAGTATTGAACAATGTCACACCAGTTCACCAAAAAATGAAATGGCTACATATTTTTGTTCGTTAAATTCGTTGCCCATTGCAGGTGAACAATGTAAATCATATGCAAAACAAATTCAACAGACCTCTTTCAGTTTGGCGGCAGAAAGTTAAGACTGCAAAGTGAGTGTAATGATTTCGTGTAATTTACACGCATTTCACACTCACGTGCGTGTATGGTTACTGCACGTAGGTACGTGTAGTGACGCACGGTTTGCGTCAAGAGCCTTTAATGCGGCAGGACACGCGAGCGCTGCATGTACCAGCACGTTAAGAAATCCTTGAGACACGTTATTTCAGCAGAGAAATTATGATTTTTTATTTTGCAAAAGAAAAATTACAGACTTCAATGTACCTTGGGCTCCATTTGAACCCTTTGTCTGAGACAAGGGATAATTTGAATTTTATTACTGACGTGAAATTTTCAGGACTCACTTGTAAGTACAACACTTGAGTCGCAAAGTAGTTCCTAACAAAAAACAAACAAACAAACAAACAAAAAACCACCGCAAACTGAGACCCGTAAATTTTTTTCATAGTCACTTTTCAATTCTTTTTCCTTGAATTAGGAATTATTGAAGCTAATTAATACTGCGCATACTTGCTATTTAGCTTACATCTACACGTTTAACTAGGAGGTTAAAACGTTTGATAGTGCTGCCTGAAATGGAACTCGCAAAAATTAGCTCTCGGCCGAAATTTCAGTCATAGACAAAAAATTAATCCTCATTAAAAGGAATCCGTTCAACTGCCTTAAAGTTTCGCGCCGCAAAGGGTTTTCGAACATAGGTGTAAGGTATAAGTGATAGTTATATTGTGGACATAGTGTACTTTTGTGCTGATAACTTTTTGCTGTCAGTTCTCGTCCAGTCTTTAAATTATATTGGCGAGAGCGCGGACAAATAACTTTAACTTGGTGGGAATGGTGAAAGCGTCTTTTTTTTGCCCTTCCTCTGTACCGAGAGCAGTTTTGCCCTCTACCTAGATCTTTCTCACTATTTAAACGGTAGCACTTGAAAGGATGAGGATTAAGATTTGTAAACAATAGTGAGGGTACTTCGGCAACATATTTATGTAGTGTGTTATAGAAAGCTTATATATGTGTACATCTTATTTGATCCGTTGAATTTATTGCTATTTATGATGAACGTCCGTGGTGACACCGTTTCATTTTCTAAGTTACGGGTAATAAATGTAAAATTGTAGCAAACAAAAGGTTAGACATAAGTAAAGGAAAAGATAATTTATTTTTGTAAAAGACTTCTTAAGTAATAAAGCTGTGGTAATACGGTATACGCTAAGCAGAGTAAAGCATGTAGATTCTTAGCCAAGGTTTTACATCTGTGAATGAAGCAGTTTAGATATTGTTATGAAATAATGTATTTTTTCTTTCAGTTGTCGTTCATGTTTTTCTTTTCACCAAGAGAATATAAACAGGTTATAATCTCTTGTTTCCACATGTAGCGTCGGTACGCTGATAAAAATGGGGGCTAGGTATTATTTTGGACATCGGAGCTGTAAGTCAATACTGGGATAGAACAACAAAAACAAAACAAATAATGCACTACAGACATTGTTATTTTTGACCTAACGAAGTGTTTTAATTGAGTTTATTTTTTTAGTTTCGTTACATTAAATCCACATCAAGTGCTAGCGAACTAGTTGGGCCATTTGTTAGAATCAGACAAAAACTACCTCTTCCGAAACAAAGCTACTACAAAACAATTATTTTGGTAATGAGTTGAAAGGCAAGAAAATGACAAACCATTTTTGTATCTAAGGCTTCGTACTCACCCTCGTTTTGGTGAGAGGCTTGGGGCATCTCGAAAATCAGACGTTCTATTGTAGTGGGTATATACACTGAAATTCGGCTAATGAGCTGCCTTTGCCCTTGGACGCCGCGCCCAGTCTCCTACATGGCCGCTCTTACACGCTCTTACTTTTCAAACAATCATACTGCCTAGTGTGAAGTGAGGATTATACTTTGAAGCTAAATAAAC